AGCACCAATAATCAGCCCTGCAATGTTAAAATGTTAAAATAAGCAGAACTTTTCACTTGATGTTAGGAGAGATTTTTATCTGCAGATTGAACTTTTACTACAGATGATTAACATTCACTAAATAAATGTTATTATTGACTTTATGCAATAAAATGCTGTTTGGTTTAAGGGAGTTTGAATTGTTTGCTCATTGGGATTTATTAAAGTATTTATAATATTATATTAAATAAGTCAAAGTGTTTAAATAAAACATCTGCAGAATATGTCAATTTTTGTCTGGTTAGTTGTCAGAATAATTTAATAAATCGATTATAGAAAAACATAATTCTTTTACAACAATATTCTTTATTGTCCCACAGGAGTAAATACATTATTGCTCATCTATTATCCTTTAAATGCTTACAGTTGTAAAAACTGTTGGGAAAATACAGGATTATTGAGTTCTTTCAAAATAAATGCTCACATTTTTTTGTTTTTTTTTCACAAATTGATGTCTCGTCATTTTTTTAATCAATCTCTAGAAAAGAAAAGAAGAAAATACTACTGTTAAACCCTGTTATAGAGGAGAGGTATTCCCATAATTGCTAAAAACTGAGAGCAGAAGCTTTATTTGCTTTATTGTTCAGAGTTTCTCCAAACCTTCAGCTTTAGGGAAGAAGTGGGTTTCATTTAGAGAAAGATTAGGTGTGTGTGTGTGTTTTTTTTAGGTGTAAGCTATGGAACAAAGTCATCCATCCTCAGACTTTGTTTGTACAGATTTTGAATCTACATTTTTGCTGTAATAAAACAATTTTATATGGACATAATTAATGTTCCTGTCCCACAATTTAATGTATTTGGCTGCTGCAAAGATTTATGACACTTATCTTTTATATTAATGATTAAAATGACGTGTATTTGTGTTACTTTGCGCTTATGTTCATTGATGACTGTTTTCCAGATCTAAATGCGCAACGTGACGCTCAAAATCATTCATAGAAAATATTATCTTAACATGAATAAAGACTTATTTTCTTCAGTCCTAATCCTAATCCTAATCCGGGAAAAGATGGATAGTTACACACAAATTAAGGAAATCATAAAGTGGTTATACAATATCACCACCGCACTCTGTAACTTATACCACGTATCAAGTTTTGGAAAACTGCGGAAGAGTTTTACGTATCTGTAAAATATCTTAACTTACCTTGATTCACTCCTTGTATCTGACTGATCAAGAAAACCAACAAAACCTGAAGAAACATCTTCATTTCTACCAGAGAGCAGATTAATGATTCTCTTTCAAGATTGTAACGAGTATTTGAAATGACCGAGAGTTAAACCCAATGATACTTTCTCTTTTGATTCGTTTGTGTGTGTGTGGTGTGTGTGTGTGGGGTGGGGGTGTGTGTGTGTGTGTGTGTGTGTTTTCGGGCGCATAGTTGCACAATCAGGAAGCGATAAAGCTTTAATATGGCTGAACACGAGACAGCAGCCATGTAATAGTTTCTTATTTAAAAAAAAAAATAATAAAAATCTAATTCTATGTTTTTTTGCAGCTGTGAGCCATATTTCACCAACACACCACACACACTCACACTAGCCCACTTTCTCACTATTCTCTTTACTCCACTAGGAAACTGTGAGAAAGCAGGAGTTCATACACCTTTTGACAGGAATCTTGTCTGTTGCCGAGGGCAAACTCCACCCACTCTGAGTGACAGTCAGCAGAAATGGAGGAAAACCTGAAAACTCTGCATGAGAGTCAGAAATAGCGGTGTGAGGCAGGCGGAGCCGGTAGATCCAGGTACAATGAATTCAGTGACGCTTTAATGGTGAAAATTAGTGATGGGTCTGGCAACACCGATCAATCAGCGCGTATTGATTTCAGCAAGTCACGTGACCGATACAAGAACCGTTTCGAAATGACACTTCACTGCCGCTAAACACCCATGCAGTGTTTAGCGGAACAATGCATGTCTGTGTTCCGCTAAAGCCTTTTATTTTTGCCCAGATTTTCCCTTCAGGACAATCTTCCAACGCCCGCAGTGTGCGGTGTGTCACATGATGGTGTGTTGAAAATTCAACATTGTCTTGGCCAGATTATCTCAGCCTGTTGAATGTGACAGGGAGCCAATCAGAAAGCGCGGTGACGTAAGAACGGAAGGGAATCCCAAACAGTTGACATGGCAACTGAGAGTCCGGTGGACATCAGAGGTGATATGAGAAAATGTTTATTACTATATGTAAAGGTCATTATTATATATGTTTATTACATGTGGTTATGTTTATTCAGTTAAAAATAATAACTAGAAGAAACATAATAATAACATAAGCAGCAAATAAAGCAGCTGATCCTTTTATCAAACAACTTTTCTTTTTGTTTCGTCTTTTATAGCTTAAAATGATCCACAAACTGTCACCACTGCTCCTACATCGTCACAGCGTTTGATTATTATAAATTCATGGTATGTTGGGGTTTTACTGGTACCACCGACAGATAGAAAGAATGTCTGGTTTATATCAGACATTTTCATTAAAGACACGGTACCGACTGTCACCGCGAGTCGCGACGCACCTGGTACCACCCAGTACCACCCAGAACCACCCAGAACCACCCGGTACCACCCAGAACCACCCAGAACCACCCAGTACCACCCAGTACCACCCAGTACCACCCAGAACCACCCAGTACCACCCAGTACCACCCAGAACCACCCAGTACCACCCAGAACCACCCGGTACCACCCAGAACCACCCGGTACCACCCGGTACCACCCAGAACCACCTGGTACCACCCAGTACCACCAAGTACCACCCGGTACCACCCAGTACCACCCAGTACCACCCGGTACCACCCAGTACCACCTGCTGGCTGTTTGCTCTGCTTTTCCTTAACGTTTCTACCAGCACAGAACGTGATGATGAGTTTCTGTCCATTTAACAGGGAATGATGAGGGCAGCTGTTCCCCTGTTTAGTTTGTTTTTCCTCTGTTTTCTAGTTTCCTGTTTTTTTAGCCTTGGAGGGGGTTTTTAGCATCTGCTGGGGTTGCAATCAGTTCATACAAAGGCTTTGCGATGCATGAAAGTCTTGATTATAAGATCTGTAATAAGACAGAAAGCCCAGAACTGTCTCACCTCTCCCACTGTGCTGGGTTGTTTTTCTCTGAGCGCCAGAACGGGCCGATCTCTGCTGGACCCATGCTATGACCCTCTTTTGACACCATATACCCACATCCCTGACCACTGGCTTAAAAGTTCAGACTTCTTAGCAGTAAGTTTAACCCCATGTTTCTGGTATCTTTGTAAGACTGGTATTACATGTTCAACATGGTCCTCAAATGATTTATTGTCATCAAGGTAAAGAGGGCAGACATCATCACACAAACCCACAAACACTCCTCCATGCTTGTCTGAAATTCTGCTGGTGCTGAACTGAGTCCAAATGAGATTCTAGTCCATTGGTTTAAACCCCATGGAGTAATAAATGCTGTGAATGGCTGGCTGTCCTCATTTAAAAATCCCTGATGAAAAGCCTTTCCCTGGTCCAATACTGTAAACCAAGAGCTACCTGTAAGCTCGGGTACAAGCTTACCCTGCAGCATGTCTTGTATTCTGGGAATGGGATGTCTGTCAGGTATTGATTTGCGATTAAGTTCTTGATAATCTAGCCTTAGCTTGCCTGATTTTTTCCTCACACAGACTATCGGTGAAGAAAAGGACAACTGTAACCCAGCCTTTGATTATCAAGTCCTGCAGGTAGGTTTTTACTTCCTGGTGCAGTGGTTCCTGGGAAACCAGTTTTTTGAACTGGTTTCTGATCTTTGAGAGAAATGTGCATGTGGGAATAACGCCAACATCATTTTCAAGCATTGGTTTCACTGCAAGCTGCTGCTCACCAGTTAAATGATCTGGTTCCAAAATATCACTCATGTCACTGCTGGCAGGAGATGAAACTTTAACATCTGCATGTTAAAGGTGTGTGTGTGTGGAGTTGTGTGCTGTATGGTGTGTGTGTGTGTGTGTGTGGAGTTGTGTGCTGTATGGTGTGTGTGTGTGGAGTTGTGTGTGGGTGTGTGTGTGTGTGTGTGTGTGTGTGTGTGTGGAGTTATGTGCTGTATGGTGTGTGGTGTGTGTGTGTGTGTGTGGTGTGTGTGGAGTTGTGTGCTGTATGGTGTGTGTGTGGTGGAGTTGTGTGTGTGGGTGTGTGTGTGTGTGTGTGTGTGTGTGTGTGTGTGTGTGTGTGTGTGTGTGTGTGTGTGTGGAGTTGTGTGCTGTATGGTGTGTGTGTGTGTGTGTGTGTGTGGAGTTGTGTGCTGTATGGTGTGTGTGTGTGTGTGTGTGTGTGTGTGTGTATTAGAGAGAGTTTATGTGGCCTTTGAAGAGTTTTTCTGGTGTTTAAATGCTTTTATAATTCACGGGTCCAAAATGACCCATAAGACAATCCTTGTACCCTAGTGGTGAACAGCCCACATAGAAATATAAATAAAAACAAAGTATCACTTTTTCTAATGATGGGGTCAATTTAGGAAAACTCAGAAAATTTCAAGTTGAAAAAGATAGTTTAGGGTATTTTTTTTTCTACAGGTGAAAATGTTAATGGTCTTTTGACCCACAAGAAAAAACAAGGATTAAATGTTGTTATAATTCATAACTACCTGTAACTTTTACTTTAATATAACTCATTAATGGCTTCATGTTTTGGTTTGTTTTTCCTTTGACTGCTAATAACAGGACAAACAGGTTGGCTTTGACAAAATGGCCGCTCTGCTTCCTCTTCCATATTAAACTAATTTGCATTTTGTACAGTCAAAACATCTCAGGCCACATATTGAACTTGGCTTGAATAAAACAAAATACAACAATGTTTTAAAGGGTTTTATTTACAAGAGTCAAAGCTTAACATCAGTTCAAATTAAACATTAAAAAACATTTATTGATGCAAAAAACATAAACAGAATGGAAAACACTAAAAATAATAATTTTTCTAATTTCTTTGGTTTAGAGGATCAAACCAAAGAGCCATTTGATTCTGAGATATTATTAGGAAATATAAAGTATAAAGAGCTCAGTTTTATTCAGTCTATAACTTTGCAGCAGCCATTTATTCCTACATTAATCAGCCATATTAAGACTCAGTTCAATGAATTATAAAAAGTCTCATTGGTTTGATAGTATAAATGTCAGTGCAAATGGACTTTTCTCAATATGAACAGAACTTTGGCCCAGAGTTAAAGTTCAGTGACTCTGATTCACTTCATCATAAATCAGGTTTTCTCAGCCTGGGACTTTAAAACTCCTTGTCCTGCATTTTCTCCCTGCTTCCGTTTTCCTGACTCAAATGAACAAGTGATTCATTGATTCACCAGGCTGAAGAAGCTCCAAGTCTCCACTGGGTTCAGTGTTGGTGGAAGAGACATGACTCATCACCGCCATGTGGAAAAGTAATTATGAACACAGTCTTTATTCTTACCAGACCATAATTCATATTCATCAACAAAACGTCTTGTAGGACATTCTTACAAGGCACAAAGCTGGCTTTGTCTTAGACAGACAGTCTGATGAACCAGAAGAGGAAGTAAACATTTTTAATCACCAAGCAAACATTGATAAAACAAGAAGAGTGAGTAGCGTTCCTAATATTAAAGCAAACGTCCAAAGAAAAGTTAATAATGTAACAAAAAAGAAAAGGAGTCATGAAAGCATAATAATATGAAAACCTTTCAGATGAACTCATAATTAAATGAACTTAGATTCTAATTTTTCCAACAGGAGGAAATAATAAATATACAGAACTACTGAACATGGAAGAAAAGATGAACTAATGAATTCACTGCTGATTCATGAATTGAAAAACTCGACAGCAAGAAACTAAAATTATAATAAAATACATAAATGTTTGGTTATTCATGTAACAAGATTATGAACATTAAAAATAAGATTCACTAACAGAAATTAACAGAAATTAACTTGGGATGTTCTTTAACTTACAGGATTCTTGTTTCATTTTTTTAAGCTCAAGAAAAGATGATTAAATCTTTGACCTAATATGAATAACTTCCTTCTGGGTTTAATGCATTCAGTTTCTTATATTATTATCCACATTTCTATTCTTGTAACAGTTTTCATACCAAATGGTTGAAGAGACTTTAGATCAGGTGGAAGATTCAGACTCTTTAGTTTTGTCCCAGATCCTGTAAAGGTATTTCTACTTCAGCTTCATTTCCTGGGTCGACATTTTCTCTGCGATCTATGAAAACAAAACATTTTATTAATAACATCATCTGATTGTTTGATTTCCCAAAGTTACATTATTATTAAGATGACTTGAAGAAAAACAGAATTGTGTTTTTCTCAAACTGTCATTTTAGTTTTTCTAAACAAAATTATCATCAATCAGCAAAAAATAAAGTAAAGCATTAAAGTTTTGACTTTTTCTGAAATTATTTGTTTCCAGATGTTTGTTGACAAAAATAAGACAATTCAGAAACCAAAGGATATTACAATAGTTGTTGCTCCAGCATTGAATAACTGGACACAACAGAAAATAGACAACAGTGAATATTTATCTTAACACACAATATAAATGAGGCGACAATATTTAATTCTCCTTATCAGTTTTAACTGGTAAAAATGTTTCATCAACCTGATCAGGCAGAAAAGCTACAATAAATAACAAAGAGCTGAAGAGAAAAAAGGAAACTCATAATGGTTTAGTTTCTTGTTTTCTTTTCTTTTCCATCAAACATCAATAGATATTGATAAATATGTGAAAGTTGCATAACTTTTCTAATTCCTGTTTATCAAAAGTTTTGCTTTTCTTCCACTTCAGATCATTTTTTGCGATCTAGTAAAAACTATATTTTCTATCAATTGGAAATATGCATCTATGGAGATAATCATTAATTTAACAAAATCCTGCATGACTTAAAAAGACGATGACTGACTTACTTGGTTCACGTCTCCGGCAACGTAGAACACAGTATATGATGATGATGATGAGTGCTCCTAGAACAACAGCACCACCAATAAAAGCACCAATAATTCCAACAATAACTCCAGGATCAGTTCCTGTGACAAAAAAGAAAATTGTGTTTTTAACATTCTGTTTTTGAATATTTTGAATTTAATTTTGCATATTTTTGTTTTATTCATGAGATCAAAGTTGTGAACCAACAGTCACCTCATCATTCAGATGTTATCACACACACACACACACACGCACACACACACACACACACACACACACACACACACACACACACACACACACACACACACACACACACACACACACACACACACACACACACACACACACGTACACACACACACACACACACAGGTCTTCAGGTTTTATCTGCCAGCTGAACATCAACATGTTTTAACAGGAAAAGCCTGAAGATGAATATTCAACCCAATGAGCCTCAATGGCTGCAGGTAACAAAGAAAATCTGAAACTGAGTCAGAGGGCCAGTAACCACTGGTTACCTAGTTAAACATATTTACCTCTAGTAGCAGTCAAGTTGCCTTGGGATCCATTTTCATCTGTTGAAGAATTACATCAAGAGTTAGAGACATCAATATATTCATTTAGTTTGTCTTAAATGATCTTAATTTTATAAAACTCACCAAGTATTAGAGTAACGTTTCCCTTTCTGACTTGACTTTGCAGTTTGGGAACAAAGCAAATATAATTCCCTTCATCCTCCTGGGTTACTTTGGTCAATTTGAGGGAAATGTTGCCTTTTTCAAACTCATCATGGAACATGGAGGTTCGGTTAATGTACTTTGGGTTTGGAGTTTCATCATCTGTAGCTCGGCTGCGATGCAAATGGATTATTTTATCCTTGAATCTCCATTCGATTGTAAGATTGTTCACATCAAATGGAGGCTCCAGATGACATGGCAGAATGACGTCGCCTCCCACCTTTGCAGATATCGGCTCATGACCAACAACCTTCACTTCATCTGGAAGAATAAACAAAGATAAAAATAAATCAGCACTAATTCTGTTTTTTGTTCAGCTAACATTCATACTTATTCTCCTGTAGGATCTTTACAATTGTGAAAAAATGAATCTATCCCATTAATAGAGGTTACTCATGTTTAACTCAAGTAAAATAACAAAACCATATAACTTACTGGAGAAAATAGTTAGGACCCTTTAACAGTCTTAACCTCTTGAGTTGATATGATGGTACTACATCGGAAACTCACTAAACTTGGCGGACGCATCAAACCTTCTGGAAATTTTATGTATTTTAAGATTGTCACAAAAGGAACTATATATACTGCTCATAAAAAAATAAAGGGAACACTCAAATAACACATCCTAGATCTGAATGAATGAAATATTCTCATTGAATACTTTGTCCTGTTGTCTATTCCATTTGCACAACAGCAGGTTAAATTGATTGTCAATCAGTGTTGCTTCCTAAGTGGACAGTTTGATTTCACAGAAGTTTGATTTACTTGGAGTTATATTCTGTTGTTTGAGTGTTCCCTTTATTTTTTTTTTGAGCAGTGTATATATCTATATATCTATATCTAATGACGTCAGATGTACCACTGAGTTGAATGGAGCCTTAAATTCAAAATATCTACAATGATTTACTGACTATGTGAAACATTCATCCATCCATTTTCCGTCACCCTTCTCCCTAACGGGGTCGGGAGGGGCTGGTGCCTCTCCGGCTGCTTTCCAGGTGGGAGGCGGGGTCACTGGGGTCACCCTGGACAGGTCACCAGTCTGTCGCAGGGCAATACAGAGACAAACAGGACAAACAACCACACACACACACACACACACACACACACACACACACACACACACACACACACACACACACACACACACACACACACACACACACACACACACCTAGGGAGAATTTGGGAAGGCCAATCAACCTGACAGTCATGTTTTTGGACTGTGGGAGGAAGCTGGAGAACCTGGAGAGAACCCACCATGCACAGGGAGAACATGCAAACTCCGTGCAGAAAGACCCCTGGCCGGGAATCGAACCCAGGACCTTCTTGCTGAAAGGCAACAGTGCTACCCACTGCACCACTGTGCAGCCCTATGTGAAACATATAAACAATTAAATATTGCCTAGTCATGAAGTAAATTCAAGATGTCTCCTTTTTAGTTTTGATTAGTCATAATTCTAATTAAACATATTTAATTCATGATATCTTAAATGTTTTGATAGGACATTTTGACTAGATAAGATTAAATTATAGATATCTTACAAGCAAACAATGACTCAGCAAAACTAAATTAGATATTCTGATTTAGTCAAAATTCCTTTATCTTCAAATTAATTAGTGATCAACAGTTTTTTATGTCTGATGCTTGAATCTGATATTAATATTCTGACTAGTCAGAATGACATTACCATAAATAATAACTAATAATCAATGAATGATTTTTGCTTGAGCCCCTCATCACTAGACTTCACTAAGTCTATATCTAAACAGTCTTAGTGATGCTGAGGTTCTTAGTCAGAATATCTTTGGTTTATTTAAATGTGGCTTGTTTGGTTTTATGCTGCTGTCCAAATTGTTGCTGCAGTATTTCAGCAAATGTTTGGATCTTTGGAGAGCTCCAAATGCTGTGGTACCGTTTCTTTATATCAGAATATGGTTCTGACCCACAGCGGGTGAGACCCACGATTTGAAATACATCATATCTATGCACTATGAACGTTAATATCTGTTTTTAATTTGACAAAAAATAAATTAATTTAATTATTATTTGTTAAAATCTAAATACGTTTCTAATTGCTAGGATATTTTCTAGTTAAATAAAAACTTAAAATATGGTAACATTAATGTAAGATTATTGAAACATTAATGCATCTTTTGAATCTATATTTTTGTTGTAATAAAACTATTTTATATGGACATAATTAATGTTCCTGTCCCACAACTTGTTCAGCTCTCCTCCAGCAGATTTAATTTATTTGGCTGCTGCAAAGATTTATGACACTTATCTTTTATATTAATGATTAAAATGATTTGTATTTGTGTTACTTTGCACTTATGTTCATTGATGACTGTTTTCCAGATCTAAATGTGCAACGTGACGCTCAAAATCATTCATAGAAAATATTATCTTAACATTAACAAAGCCTTTTTTTCTTCAGTCCTAATCCTAATCCTAATCCGGGAAAAGATGGACAGTTACACACAAATTCAGGAAACCATAAAGTGGTTATACAATATCACCACCGCACTCTTTAACTTACACCACGTATCAAGTTTTGGAAAACTGCGGAAGAGTTTTACGTATCTGTAAAATATCTTAACTTACCTTGATTCGTCCCAGATATCTGACTGATCAAGAAAACCAACAAAACCTGAAGAAACATCTTCATTTCTACCAGAGAGCAGATTAATGATTCTCTTTAAAGATTGTAACGAGTATTTGAAATGGCTGAGAGTTAAACCCAATGACACTTTCTCTTTTGATTCGTTTGTGTTTGCGTGTGGTGTATGCAAACACAATATATCAGGACAGAGGCCATCTGTCAGTCTAGCTATTTTACATGTGTGTGTGTGTGTGTGTGTGTGTGTGTGTGTGGGGTGGTGTGGGGTGTGTGTGTGTGTGTGTGTGTGTGTGTGTGTGTGTGTGTGTTTGTGTGTGTTGTGTGGTGTGGGGGGTGTGTGTGTTGTGTGTGTGTGTGTGTGTGTGTGTTGTGTGTGTGTGTGTGTGTGTGTGTGGTGTTTGTGTGTGTGTGTGTGTGTGTGTTTGTGTGTGTGTGGGGTGTGTGTGTTTGTGTGTGTGTGTGTGTTTTGTGTGTGTGTGTGTGTGTGTGTGTGTGTGCGTGCGTGTGCGTGTGTGGTGTGTGTGTGTGTGTGTGTGTGTGTGTGTGTGTGTGTTCAGGCTTCCAGTTGCACAATCAGGAAGCGATAAAGCTTCAATATGGCTAAACATGAAAGTGAGACAGCAGCCATATGCTCTGCGTTAATTTATTATTTAATCATCAGTTTGTCTATTGAGTTCATAATTATGTAATAAACCATCATCCACACAATGAATTACAGTTACATAGAGCATTTAAACACAGAACAACAAATGCTAAAGATCATGTCAAAGTAAATCACAGTGATGAGACAGAATTAGTAACATCTGAAGGAAGTGAATAAAATGAATCATTTTTATAAACATTTATATGCATCATTCTGGTTGAGCTGCAAGATAAAGTGCCAGTCTGGGATGAAGACAAAGGTTTTGCTGAATGTTGTGTCAAAGCTGTAGCTCAACCATGTCAAAGTCAAAACGCCGAGGGCCAAAAAAACAAATTTGCTACAAGCCGAGGGCCGGACTGGTTCAACGTTTATTCAAATATATTGAAATGATTGCACATAGTTATTGAACCAAGACCTAACACAGCATATATTATTTAATAATTAAAAGAATAAAGCGATATTTTGTTACAACTATCTCGGTAACCTCAAGGAAAAACATTTTCAACAGGCAAACAGCAGCAAATTTAATTGTTTTGAAAAACTAAATGTTTCTTAATATCAAGATAAATACATAAATTAAAGTGCATACATTATAAACTGAAAATGCTTTATTGTGCTGCTCTATGATGTCCATATTCTTGTCTTTGTGTGTTTCTGAGAAGTTTGATAGATTATATTCTTTTATTGCTGTAAGAGGCATATGATTGAAATAAGCAATCAATGATGTGGCAGCAGCTCGTGGCTTTGACACTTGGGTGGTGGGCGTGTCGGGGTGGGCGTGTCGGGGTGGGCGTGTCGAGATGGGCGTGTCGAGGTGGGCGTGGCCGTCTACCTGTCACTAAGGTGTGAATGGGAGCCATGCTGGCGCTCTGACTTTGTGTGTATGAGGAAACGAGTGCGGCGGTGATGGTCGTAATTTCTGTTGGTCGTGCTATAATGTCGCTTTATTGTTGGCACTGCTGTATGGTTCAGTATGTGTCAGTCCTGTAAAGTCTGAATTTATGGCAGATAAAGTGGAAAATCGATGATTGCAACAACAAAGAAGCGGCCTGGAGTGTATTGAAGCACTAAAGTGCACTAAACACGTCTGACAGCTTAAAATTCACCAAGTTAACTCAGTGCGGCCCTCAAACATACCGTTAGTTTAATTACAGCCAAAGTTTCTGCGGGCCGGTTCTAATAGTAATTAAACATCATCCTGGGGGCCACAGATAATTCATTCTTCATTCGCAGGCCGGATCCGGACCTGGACTTTGACAAGTGTTATAGCGACTAAAACTGAGGGACCAATGATGCAGTGGAAGCAAAGAAGATGAAATGACATCGCAATTAAATATACTTCTTTCAAGATTATTTCATTATTTATTTTGTTTTTCCGATGTGCTTTAAAAAATAAATGCATTTTTAGGACAAAACAATTGAATTGGTGACACATGATCTGTTTTAAAAAATCTAAGTTAAAACATTCTAAATATTGATTTAGTTTATTAGGACTCTAGTTAATTAAAAAAAAAGTTTATTATGATTTTTTTTGTCACTTTTGGGTCAAATTAACCAGAATCTCATCTGAAACTCAACATCTGAAACTTATGAGCACAAATGGAAAGAACAACAGGAAAAATGTAAAGGCTTTCAGCTCTATAATTAGTTTCATATTAGTGCAAAATATAACAATATATCAGGATAGAGGCCAAACAGAGATTATTACATTATCTCTGTTTGAATACATGACTGTAAAAACAACATTTTGTGTATGATCTCAAATCACCAGCTTTTAAATCCTATAATAAAAAAGAGAATGGAGATTCAACTTTAAAAATTATTACATTAACTTAAAATCAAAATGAGGCAAATGTACTTTATTTACATTTTTTATATGATAACTTAATGGTCAGTATTAAGTTTTCAAATTTAGCCATTTTATAGCGTAATCAAGTAGCTATGTTGCCTTCAGTTGTTAACAAAAGGCTATTAAAATGAAATATGACTTAAAAGAAAATTTAACGTCTTGAAATTGGGCATCTGTCACTTTAAAAACTCATGTTTTCTCTGTAATGCTGCCTTCAAGAAATCATCGAAACATGGCTGATATTAACCTAATTTTAACTTCATTTCACTGAGAAGTCGCACAAATAACCAGATCAGCAATTCCAGCAGGTGAGTGCTAATTGCTGGTGGCTAGTCTGAAGGATCTGAGAGGAGGAGTCATGTGGAGGAGGGCTCCTCTGATAGACAGAAGCTCAGTTTGGAAACAGCAGCTCTGAGGAAGGCGGAGCTAAACCCCACCAGGTGTTTGTGCAGCTGAATGATTGCCATGGAGATTAAGGGATTTTTTTTCAAACATGCTTGAAAAAACCAAGGCAACAATTCAGGCAAGTTTTGAATGAGGGAATAACATCACATGACACAAAGCTAAAAACTTTACTTTTCTTTTTTTTTCATAAAACGTCACCTTTAATAATTTACTTGGATAAACTTCATTTGATTGCTTATAAGAAATTAGCTCATTATTTTGTACAGTTAGATCAGCTGTTTTCTTCTGGCATCTTGCATCCTAGTAAGATTCTCCCAGCTGTTGCAGCCAATGAGAATCTTTGTGCTTTTCTATTATGACTTTAAACCATAAAGTGATTCTCAAACTATTTCATGCTGAGAACCACTTACCACATTTATCAGACACTAGCGGACCACCTCATTTGAAATTGCCACTGCAATAACATCTTAATCCATCTAAACGATGAATTGAGTTTCCTAAATCTGTCCAGAACTGAAGTAACTCTGTTTAATCTGGTTTCCAGAAAAGATTCGCGTGATTTCTACGACCCCCATCCAGATGTCTCGTCCTTCTTCCCCCTGTGAATCAGCCAGACTGAGCAGCCAACTAGTTTCACAGAGCACATCTGTTAACGGTCGCTCCTTCTCTTTTTCGCACTTGTTAGTGAATCAGGTTGGTTTTAGTGACTCTGGCGAGTCCCAAGGATGTTGTTTTAAATTTGGGCTAAAGCAACCTATAAAACATGACCTAGTTTTCTTCCCCAGAATAAAACATCACAGCTATTTTACTACCATCAAAAAACTTTGAGGTGACTCATAAATTGAATGTCCACAACATCTTTTAGATTTTCTTTATTAGTAAAGCAATAAAGCTTAATTAAGTAGCAGAAATAATCAAATAAGTAAAATCAATCATCTAGCCTGTCTTTCTCTAATGCTGATACTAAGAACTAAAAAGGGAACCTTTAGAGAGAGAAGGATGAAGTTTGGTGTTTCGAACCCCAGAACTGGATCGATGATGAAGAAGGTGTTGCAGCAGGAGGAAGAGGAGGTTGATTGACGAAAGCAGGGATCTCTGTTGGTCTGATGAGCTTTCATCTCTGCATCGATGGTGAGGTCACACAGGACTTGGGTCTTTGTCTTTGTCTTGATCTTCATCTTTGTCCTTGGTCTGAACCCAGCTGATGAGAGAAGTCCAATTTGAAGCCACATGTTGCGGGGCTGATGGGTTGGTCCCCGTGCACAGGACAGTCTTCGGCTCTGTGTCTCCGGCTCTTCTTCAGCTGCAGAGTTCTTTGTCCGTCTCAGTCTTGACTCGAAGCTGCCTGGAGGATCCAACCAACGATTCCTCTTTTGCTCTCCCCTTATATAGGGTTTATACCCGCTTTCAGTGCATTTTCATTGGCTAACACTGTTGCTGTGATTTATTGGGTAACTTGTTTGGACAGATAAACTCATATCCATCACTGTCTTAGAGACATTTTGTCCTGATGTCTTGGCTAATGTCTCAGGGTTGCTCAATGTTCCTCCCATGTCTCTGACACGTGTAAGTTGTTCAACAAGCTATGTCCTAATAAGGTCTTGGTCATCTCTGCTTTCCCGTTTGTCCCCATTTAACCCCTGACCTTTCACCTACTATCTACCTCCAACACATCATCAGTGATCTTTATAAGTAAACCTTTATAAGTGTTTTACTTGTACGTTTTTCCAAGTGTAAGTATTGTTATAAGTAAACCAATATTAATATAAGTACTTTACTTTAAATCTTATCTAATTACTCAAAATGTTTAGATTTTGTCTTTTAAAACTTTTATGCTTTTAAACAAGGACTGGTCTCAGCTATTTTTATACAGCTGCAAGCTGGAAACTTACTTCCTCTTTTCCAGGAAACCTGCTCTTCCTGTCTCATCTCTCTCTCTCTATGATTTCTTATGATTAGATAGAAAAAATAAGTAGAATGAAAGCTAAGTTTGCAGGAGACAAAAACAACACACAACCAGATTTATGTTATTGCAGTCTGGGTCTACTGTTGGATCTAGATGTGATTTGTGTGAATAATGTTAATGGTAACTTTATTTGTTGTTTACTGTTAAACTAAAATCTTCAGCATGGGAAGCGGGATGAACTCGGATTTTCTTGACACAGTTGACAGCATGTCTGAGCTGGATCCTTCCTGCTCTGTGACAGAACATGGACGATCAGTTCAGGATTGATGGAATTCAACAACACATTTTAAATGAATAAGGGCTTTATCTGTGTACACTAACACACAGAGCACACACACTGTTTGCTTAGCAAACACTAAGCAAACAGGGACGCAGTGATTTATAGGGTGGACACAACTGAAACAATGAAGCTGTAGCAGCTTCTGTTGTGATGAGAGATTCTAAGTTTGACAGTTTCATCAAACATTTTTGTAAAGTCACAATAAAATGTGTTTGCTGAAGAATTCAAAAAGAAGTACTAACTTGACAGGATGTGAGCGATCACACTGTTTCTCATGTCAGTTTCAGCAGTTTCAGCCACAAACTGGGTATCTCATGTTCTCACATGCAGCGCGGCTCATTTCCTGTTTCCTTAGAAACTCAAGGTCAGTGTTTATGTGGTTTTTAGTTCAGCTGGTAAAGAACAGAATATGATAATCTTTTACTAAATTTGTAAACTTTGTGAAAACACTTTTCAGGATATCTGAGATGAACACATTCAGTAAAAGAACAACAGGAATTTTCTTTGATAATGATGATATATCATTTTTACTGCTATGTTCTATGTGCCACTGACTTCCTGAAAGAAGCAGATGTGAAGCTGAATAAACTTTGTGGTTTAGCGGAAGAGAGCATCATAACACGATGGCTTTCTCTTCGCTCTGCCTCATGCTCTGTAAGTAGCAACACTTTGGTATTTATTTATTTCAATTTAGCCTCCAACTGTCTGTTAGCATTCCTTAGTAACATGTTGAGATGTTTCCTTTATGGAATAATCCAGTTTGTAACCATCTTGCTCTAAATATCCACTTAACCAAATTATATCTATGCAAGCCATTTGAATTATTTTGCGTTGACTAATGTATATATTTTACTTTCTACCTAGATTTGTCAATTTTCTTTTGTTTTGACATAATGTAGGAGCTATTTTTCATAAATAAAATACATTTCATTTATACAAAATGAAACAAACAAAAAAGTGCAGCAGCTGCACTTTCATCTGTAAAACTGTTCCATCCCCCTGAGTGGAAGGTAAATTATTTGGTTCAGAGATGCACAACTTATTTAGGACAGACTGTGGTTACTAACCAAAGCTGAAAACAAGGCCAGCAGAACTGACCCTCTGACCTGAGAGGTCAGAGGGTATAAACTCTATATGATATAAACTTGCATTAAAAGTGTCGTCGTTTACAGACTACTGCAAAGTTGACACTTTGAATGACTTTTTAATGATTTTAATCACCAAAGTCATAAACATTTATAAAGTCTCCTTCATGCTCATAACAGGCTTTGTCATATTTATGACAAAGTCATGTCAGTCTTATGCACACCTCTTCAAATAAACTGTTACCAAAATAGCATTTATTGCAACTTTAGTTGTTGACGTTTGCAAACTCTTAGTTTACTAATTTTTCCACCTGTAAATATAGAAACAAAACAGGAACATAATGTATTTATACAAGTTTTTAAAAACTTTTCTTTTCCAGTTTTGTGTGATTATTTTTTCACTGTAGTCCTGTTTTGGCAGTTTTTACAAAAGAATTTGAATTATTGATGGCAACAGGAAAATTTATTATTCAAAAAAAGGCATTCATTTCTGGGAGCTCGCTCAAGTGCAATGAACATGTCCAAAATATAAGCAATGGATGAGGAACGTTTCTGCTCAACTTTAACTGTTCTGCAAGGGTAGTTAAGATGCAAACTATTTATAAAACCAAACATAAAACCCCGGTCCATTTTTAACTTGCACAAACAAGTTAAAATAAACCAACGCAACAGAGTTTCATTAAAATCTGATGAAAGTTCAGAGAAACTATTGAGGTGTTGAAACATTAATTAATAAGGCACTGAATACTGTAAACACTGTACTGGGTCTTTATAGCAAATTAAATAAAACAACAAAATATTTAGCAGTATGGTTTGTGGGTGAGGATAACCCCTTGTGCAGTTTTACAACAAATGAAACTATATCTCATTAATGTTTCTATTTGTACTAATAATAATGACAGCTTTTCAATAAGGTGTGCATGCAAAATGTGTCTAATGACCTCAACTAAACTGGGGAAAGTTATTCTCTCTGAAATGACTCTTTCTATATTTCAGTGAATGAGGTCACATGAAATGCTAAAGACCCTCTCAGCAAATGTCAGAGATGCTAGCATGGCCAAAAACTCTGAGGCAACAGAATCTCCCCATTCAGGCCAAAATTCAAGGCAAATCTTCTGGTTTATAGGCTGATGCTGCTTGAATTTATTCCTGCATGACCCAAGACTTTGAGAAGCCAGAGCAGGATGACTAGCTAGACAGGAATGTGAGTCCTGGCCAGTTTTTCTTTGGTCTCTGTTGGAATTATTCTCCCTCCTGCTCTGGTTTCTCATCTGCCTGTACAACTGGTGGGACCAAATGAGAAATGCAATCTGCTCAGTTCGCTCTTCATCATTTTAAAGGATGTTTTTCAGTGATACAAGGAAACAAACACTTGAGGGGTAAACACTCAATCAGTGTGATCAAGAAAGCAGCTGAATCACTTTTCCATGTTTGCCCTCCTTTGCCAGGAAAGCTGAGTTCTTGAAGTTGGAATCCTGGTTATTAGAGAACTCAGATAAGTGAAGGTTCAGGAAGGAGGGCAACACCTGGACAAAGACTGCATGTTAGTCTGGAGCATTAGGGTATGCTCATTGAAGACACAAATAAATTAGAGCAGTCAATTTCTGCCACTCACTTGGCTCCACACAGTCCCAGCTCATCCCATCCGGGACCTGAACTACTGAGTCTCATTTATATTTTATCACAGTCAATGTATTTAGCTGCAGGAAATGCTGAGTTGCCACCAATGACCTGAGCAGTGAGTCAATACTGGAGTCTTTCTGGATGGCTACAAACCCACATAGAAACTACCTCTAACTACCTCAGTCTTTGGTTTCACTCATTTCATTCTATCTTCAGAAATATTGAATTCATCCACTCCATTAGTTTTTGCAATCATGATGATTCCATTATTAGCTATGAATGTTTCAGTTGTGGTTTGTGGCATTTACTAAATAATGTTATAATTGTAAACAAAAACAACATCTCTTCATCATAAAGCCAATTATTGTCAATCACATGAATCCAAACTCTTTGCTCTTTCCTCTGCAGCTACACTGACTGTCACTCCTGACCGATCCCAGTTCTTCCAGTATGACCAAATCACTCTTACCTGTGTGACAAACTCCAGTGGCTGGAAAGTGATGAGGACGATAAAGAACAACCCTCTTCAGGAATGTCAGTTCGGTTGGGCAATCCCCGGAGAATCCTCCTGCACCATTGAGGATGCTTACCCAACTGACACTGGTGTCTACTGGTGTCAATCTGAGCGAGAAGAATGCAGCAACAGGGTCAATCTCACTGTAGTCGGTAATGGACAAGCATCTTGACTGAGTTTACTCTAAACTTGGATTTTTTTTATCTTTTTAGAAAACATGATTCTTATTAAATGATTTTATTTCAGAGGGAAGTGTGATCCTCGAGAGTCCTTCATATCCTGTCTTTAAGGGAGAAAATGTGACACTTGGTTGTTCCCACAAAGAAGAAGATGATGACATCTCCACCTCAAACTTTGAAGCTGCGTTCTACAAAGATGACGTCTTCATTGGGAAAGACAAACAAGGGAAAATGACGATTAAAGCAGAAGAAGGTTTCTACAAATGTGTCCATCCTTCTAAAAGAGAGTCACCGAAGAGCTGGCTGGCAGTGAAAGGTGATGATCTTTGTTTCATTCAGGCTGTCAGATATCAGTCACCTTTAAGAAAAGAACCTTTAAATAAAAATGCAACTCTGACTCAACCAGTCCGTATAATTGACCTCAATCTCTAAAGTGTTGCCACTAAAGAAGCCTGTTTTTCTTGGCTGTATTATTTTATTTAAATAGATATGTTCTGCAATTTACGGTTATGTTTGTTCAAATGACATAAATGTTCTTACAGGAGTAAAATAATGTTAATTATCCTGTAATAATTTTCAGAATATTTTGTAAAAATGCTAATTTCTTTTCAGTTTATGCCAGAAAGTAACTCTAAAAGACACTCCAACAAAGTCCTTTAAAATTATTGTAATTTACCAATAAATGATTATTGGCACTGATGTTTTCATGCCTTAATCCTACAAATACATAAACAGATAAATATATAAACCTATCGGTTCAATTCAATTTATTTATATTCATCAAAATGTTGTTTCAAGGCACTTTATAAAAAAACAATTTAAATTCAATCATGCAGACATTCTAATTAATCTGAGCTGTCAGACTGCATGATATGCTCAATTAATTATCAGAAAAGTTTTAAAAGTTTTTATCTGATGAAATTCAGCAGGTTTCCTTAGACTTTCAGAGGCCAGGTAAAGTAAGAACTCTGCAGACCCAAACACCCGAGCTGCCATCCTGCAGCTTGCATTGTTGCTCCAACCTGAATCAATGACTGAATCAATGACTGAATCATTGACTGAATCAATGACTGAATCAATGACTGAATCAATAATTGAATCAATGAATGAATCAATGACTGAATCAATGACTGAATCAATGACTGAATCATTGACTGAATCATTGACTGAATCAAAGACTGAATCAATGATTGAATCAATGACTGAATCAATGACTGAATCAAAGACTGAATCATTGACTGAATCAATGACTGAATCAATGACTGAATCAATGACTGAATCAATGACTGAATCAATGACTGAATCATTGACTGAATCAATGACTGGATCAATGACTGAATCATTGACTGAATCAAAGACTGAATCAATGACTGAATCAATGACTGAATCATTGACTGAATCAATGACTGAATCAAAGACTGAATCATTGACTGAATCAATGAATGAATCAATGACTGAATCATTGACTGAATCAATGACTGAATCAATGACTGAATCAATGACTGGATCAATGACTGAATCAATGACTGAATCATTGACTGAATCAATGACTGAATCAATGAATGAATCAATGACTGAATCAATGACTGAATCAATGACTGGATCAATGACTGATTCAATGACTGGATCAATGACTGAATCAATGACTGAATCAAAGACTGAATCATTGACTGAATCAATGAATGAATCAATGACTGAATCAATGAATGAATCAATGAATGAATCAATGACTGAATCAATGACTGAATCAATGACTGGATCAATGATTGAATCGATGACTGATTCATTGACTGATTCAATGACCGAATCATTGACTGAATCAATAATTGAATCAATGACTGAATCAATGACTGAATCAAGGACTGATTCAATGACTGATTCAATGACTGAATCAGTGACTGAATCAATGACTGAATCAATGACTGAATCATTGACTGAATCAATGACTGAATCAATGACTGAATCAATGACTGATTCAATGACTGAATCATTGACTGAATCAATAATTGAATCAATGACTGAATCAATGACTGATTCAATGACTGATTCAATGACTGAATCACTGACTGAATCATTGACTGAATCAATGACTGAATCAATGACTGAATCAATGACTGAATCATTGACTGAATCAATAATTGAATCAATGACTGAATCAATGACTGATTCAATGACTGATTCAATGACTGAATCAATGACTGATTCAATGACGATTCAATGACTGAATCAATGACTGAATCAATGACTAAATCAATAATTGAATCAATGACTGAATCAATGACTGATTCAATGACTGAATCACTGACTGAATCATTGACTGAATCAATAATTGAATCAATGACTGATTCAATGACTGAATCAATGACTGAATCGATGACTGAATCGATGACTCAATCAATGACTGAATTGATGACTCAATCAATGACTGAATCGATGACTGATTCATTGACTGATTCAATGACCGAATCATTGACTGAATCAATAATTGAATCAATGACTGAATCAATGACTGAATCAATGACTGATTCAATGACTGATTCAATGACTGAATCAGTGACTGAATCAATGACTGAATCAATGACTGAATCATTGACTGAATCAATGACTGAATCAATGACTGAATCAATGACTGATTCAATGACTGAATCATTGACTGAATCAATAATTGAATCAATGACTGAATCAATGACTGATACAATGACTGATTCAATGACTGATTCAATGACTGATTCAATGACTGAATCAATGACTGAATCAATGACTAAATCAATAATGAATCAATGACTGATTCAATGACTGAATCACTGACTGAATCATTGACTGAATCAATAATTGAATCAATGACTGATTCAATGACTGATTCAATGACTGAATCAATGACTGAATCAATGACTGATTCAATGACTGAATCAATGACTGAATCGATGACTCAATCAATGACTGAATCGATGACTGATTCATTGACTGATTCAATGACCGAATCATTGACTGAATCAATAATTGAATCAATGACTGAATCATTGACTGAATCAATGACTGGATCAATGACTGAATCAATGACTGAATCAATGACTGAATCATTGACTGAATCATTGACTGAATCAATGAGTGAATCAATGACTGAATCAATGAATGAATCAATGACTGATTCAATGACTGAATCATTGACTGAATCAATATTGAATCAATGACTGAATCAATGACTGATTCAATGACTGATTCAATGACTGATTCAATGACTGAATCACTGACTGAATCATTGACTGAATCAATGACTGAATCAATGACTGAATCAATGACTGAATCATTGACTGAATCAATAATTGAATCAATGACTGAATCAATGACTGATTCAATGACTGATTCAATGACTGAATCAATGACTGATTCAATGACTGATTCAATGACTGATTCAATGACTGAATCAATGACTGAATCAATGACTAAATGAATAATTGAATCAATGACTGAATCAATGACTGATTCAATGACTGAATCACTGACTGAATCATTGACTGAATCTATAATTGAATCAATGACTGATTCAATGACTGAATCAATGACTGAATCAATGACTGAATCAATGACTGAATCAATGACTAAATCAATAATTGAATCAATGACTGAATCAATGACTGATTCAATGACTGAATCAATGACTGAATCATTGACTGAATCAATGACTGAATCAAAGACTGAATCATTGACTGAATCAATGACTGAATCATTGACTGAATCAATGACTGAATCAATGACTGAATCAATGACTGAATCATTGACTGAATCAATGACTGAATCAAAGACTGAATCATTGACTGAATCAATGAATGAATCAATGACTGAATCATTGACTGAATCAATGAATGAATCAATGACTGAATCAATGACTGAATCAATGACTGGATCAATGATTGAATCGATGACTGATTCATTGACTGATTCAATGACCGAATCATTGACTGAATCAATAATTGAATCAATGACTGAATCAATGACTGAATCAAGGACTGATTCAATGACTGATTCAATGACTGAATCAGTGACTGAATCAATGACTGAATCAATGACTGAATCATTGACTGAATCAATGACTGAATCAATGACTGAATCAATGACTGATTCAATGACTGAATCATTGACTGAATCAATAATTGAATCAATGACTGAATCAATGACTGATTCAATGACTGATTCAATGACTGAATCACTGACTGAATCATTGACTGAATCAATGACTGAATCAATGACTGAATCAATGACTGAATCATTGACTGAATCAATAATTGAATCAATGACTGAATCAATGACTGATTCAATGACTGATTCAATGACTGAATCAATGACTGATTCAATGACTGATTCAATGACTGAATCAATGACTGAATCAATGACTAAATCAATAATTGAATCAATGACTGAATCAATGACTGATTCAATGACTGAATCACTGACTGAATCATTGACTGAATCAATAATTGAATCAATGACTGATTCAATGACTGAATCAATGACTGAATCAATGACTGATTCAATGACTGAATCATTGACTGAATTGATGACTCAATCAATGACTGAATCGATGACTGATTCATTGACTGATTCAATGACCGAATCATTGACTGAATCAATAATTGAATCAATGACTGAATCAATGACTGAATCAATGACTGATTCAATGACTGATTCAATGACTGAATCAGTGACTGAATCAATGACTGAATCAATGACTGAATCATTGACTGAATCAATGACTGAATCAATGACTGAATCAATGACTGATTCAATGACTGAATCATTGACTGAATCAATAATTGAATCAATGACTGAATCAATGACTGATACAATGACTGATTCAATGACTGATTCAATGACTGATTCAATGACTGAATCAATGACTGAATCAATGACTAAATCAATAATTGAATCAATGACTGAATCAATGACTGATTCAATGACTGAATCACTGACTGAATCATTGACTGAATCAATAATTGAATCAATGACTGATTCAATGACTGATTCAATGACTGAATCAATGACTGAATCAATGACTGATTCAATGACTGAATCAATGACTGAATCGATGACTCAATCAATGACTGAATCGATGACTGATTCATTGACTGATTCAATGACCGAATCATTGACTGAATCAATAATTGAATCAATGACTGAATCAATGACTGAATCAATGACTGAATCATTGACTGAATCAATGACTGAATCAATGACTGTATCATTGACTGAATCATTGACTGAATCAATGACTGAATCAATGACTGAATCAATGACTGAATCAATGACTGATTCAATGACTGAATCATTGACTGAATCAATAATTGAATCAATGACTGAATCAATGACTGATTCAATGACTGATTCAATGACTGATTCAATGACTGAATCACTGACTGAATCATTGACTGAATCAATGACTGAATCAATGACTGAATCAATGACTGAATCATTGACTGAATCAATAATTGAATCAATGACTGAATCAATGACTGATTCAATGACTGATTCAATGACTGAATCAATGACTGATTCAATGACTGATTCAATGACTGATTCAATGACTGAATCAATGACTGAATCAATGACTAAATGAATAATTGAATCAATGACTGAATCAATGACTGATTCAATGACTGAATCACTGACTGAATCATTGACTGAATCTATAATTGAATCAATGACTGATTCAATGACTGAATCAATGACTGAATCAATGACTGAATCAATGACTGAATCAATGACTAAATCAATAATTGAATCAATGACTGAATCAATGACTGATTCAATGACTGAATCTCTGACTGAATCATTGACTGAATCAATAATTGAATCAATGACTGATTCAATGACTGAATCAATGACTGAATCAATGACTGATTCAATGACTGAATCAATGACTGAATCGATGACTCAATCATTGACTGAATCAATGACTGAATCAATGACTGAATCAATGACTGAATCATTGACTGAATCAATAATTGAATCAATGACTGAATCAATGACTGATTCAATGACTGATTCAATGACTGAATCAATGACTGATTCAATGACTGATTCAATGACTGAATCAATGACTGAATCAATGACTAAATCAATAATTGAATCAATGACTGAATCAATGACTGATTCAATGACTGAATCACTGACTGAATCATTGACAGAATCAATAATTGAATCAATGACTGATTCAATGACTGAATCAATGACTGAATCAATGACTGATTCAATGACTGAATCATTGACTGAATTGATGACTCAATCAATGACTGAATCGATGACTGATTCATTGACTGATTCAATGACCGAATCATTGACTGAATCAATAATTGAATCAATGACTGAATCAATGACTGAATCAATGACTGATTCAATGACTGATTCAATGACTGAATCAGTGACTGAATCAATGACTGAATCAATGACTGAATCATTGACTGAATCAATGACTGAATCAATGACTGAATCAATGACTGATTCAATGACTGAATCATTGACTGAATCAATAATTGAATCAATGACTGAATCAATGACTGATACAATGACTGATTCAATGACTGATTCAATGACTGATTCAATGATTCAATGACTGAATCAATGACTGAATCAATGACTAAATCAATAATTGAATCAATGACTGAATCAATGACTGATTCAATGACTGAATCACTGACTGAATCATTGACTGAATCAATAATTGAATCAATGACTGATTCAATGACTGATTCAATGACTGAATCAATGACTGAATCAATGACTGATTCAATGACTGAATCAATGACTGAATCGATGACTCAATCAATGACTGAATCGATGACTGATTCATTGACTGATTCAATGACCGAATCATTGACTGAATCAATAATTGAATCAATGACTGAATCAATGACTGAATCAATGACTGAATCATTGACTGAATCAATGACTGAATCAATGACTGTATCATTGACTGAATCATTGACTGAATCAATGACTGAATCAATGACTGAATCAATGACTGAATCAATGACTGATTCAATGACTGAATCATTGACTGAATCAATAATTGAATCAATGACTGAATCAATGACTGATTCAATGACTGATTCAATGACTGATTCAATGACTGAATCACTGACTGAATCATTGACTGAATCAATGACTGAATCAATGACTGAATCAATGACTGAATCATTGACTGAATCAATAATTGAATCAATGACTGAATCAATGACTGATTCAATGACTGATTCAATGACTGAATCAATGACTGATTCAATGACTGATTCAATGACTGATTCAATGACTGAATCAATGACTGAATCAATGACTAAATGAATAATTGAATCAATGACTGAATCAATGACTGATTCAATGACTGAATCACTGACTGAATCATTGACTGAATCTATAATTGAATCAATGACTGATTCAATGACTGAATCAATGACTGAATCAATGACTGAATCAATGACTGAATCAATGACTAAATCAATAATTGAATCAATGACTGAATCAATGACTGATTCAATGACTGAATCTCTGACTGAATCATTGACTGAATCAATAATTGAATCAATGACTGATTCAATGACTGAATCAATGACTGAATCAATGACTGATTCAATGACTGAATCAATGACTGAATCGATGACTCAATCAATGACTGATTCAATGACTGAATCAATGACTGGATCAATAACTGAATCAATGACTGGCTCGATTAAAAACTCTAGTTCAGATCATTAGAGTTTTAATCTTCTCTGTTCAGAGCGACTGACAGCCAGTCAGTTTCAGAACCGCAGTTCTTCAGGACTGGTCCACAAACCACTGGATGAAACCTTCTGGTTCTTCCATTTTGTATTGTGATTGAACATTTTGTAGCTTTTATTTGCCAGAAATTAAATAAAATATTTAATTAATTTATTTTTTTGCTTACAGCTAGAGTTGTCCAAGCAGAAACTTCTCCTCCTCCTCGTCCTTCTGCTTCTCCTCCTCCTGGTACTGGTCCTGGTTTTATTTGGAAAAGAGTGATTTGTGGCCTCCTCCTCTTCATCCTCTACAACTTCATACTAATCTTGTGTATTTACACGTACCGTAAATGGGCTCGAGGTGAGTTTTTATAAAATATTCCAGTGATGGTTTATCAAATGAAAAATTCTTGTGAAACTGTTTTCTGTCCTAATTTATCTCTGATTCTGTTACCCTGGAATATCCAGGAGTTTTACTGAAGCTATTCTAAAATAAAAGTAACTTTGAGAAACAGCTGGCACTCATTTGGCCTCTGCTCAGAAAGCAAATCTTTAGTTCTGCTCTCCTCTCAGTGACTCTGATAAACAGAGCAGCTGGAGGTTTTGGCAATGTGGACACAGTTATAGAGAGTCAAAGGAAGGGCGAGGAGAGAACAAGATTTTCAAATAAAGTGAGATGTGATTCTGGTCAAACATTCATTTCATCAGAGCAATACATAACTTATAAATATATACCACATTGTGGTATATATACGTTTTATTGATATATTTAACTACATTTTGTAATTACATCTGTGAATATTTGCTGTTGCTTTCCCAATTGCTTAACATTCAGTTACTTTTCAGTTCAATTCAGTTTATTTTCTACACCACCAATTCACATCTAATGTCATCCTGACTCACTTTACAAAATATTTTTTATTCAGTCACAATCATTACAATTGATCCCATTTATCAAACAGTGTGGGGAGTTCAGTTTATTGTTGAAATAGGTTTCCATCTCTCTCTCTCTCTTTCTGTCTCATCCCCAACCCCTCTTCCTTCCCCTCCCCACACACACAGACACACACGCACACCCACACACACACACACACACCCACCCACCCACCCACACACACACACACACACACACACACACACACACACACACACACATTCCTTTAAACGCCCCCACTCTCTCTGGAGCAGCTCTGTCTGCTCCAGCCAAGCTGTCCTGAAATGAAGTTCATTGTGTTTTTAATCTTCTCTAAAATGTTGAAGGTCTTAGGAATGTAATTTTTCTGGCTGTGTTTTTGTCTTGTGTTGAAATAAAACAAGACAATCAATGAGGTAAAGATGTTGAATCTGGTTCTAATCTGGTGACTTTAGTGGTAATGGAGGTTTTAATGAAGGCAAAAGACAAATGAAATGTAAACGTTAGTAAACTTTAGCGCCCTCTGGCTGAGTTCATGGGAAAGTAATTCAACATGCTACCATCTGTTAATTATTGAAGTAATTTATTAAATTTCCAAAGATCTTACATGTTTTTAACTGCTGATCTTTTTTCTTGTAGCCAAGACTGATATGAAAAGGAAAAACTTCTGATCACCTTTTGGTGAACTGAAGACAATGAAGACAAGAAAATGTATCATCTGTATGTTGAAGCAAAAAGAAAAATAAGATGAACAATATTAAAGTTATAGAGGAATGTGATTTATTCTCCCATTCAAAACAGATCAATATAGTATTTTCATCTGATTTCATAAACTTTAAATAATGGGAATCTTTAAACAGCTTGTTAGTTAAAAAGTAAGAACTTTGGGACGTTTAGTAACTTTTATAAGTTTGACATGAACTTCAATATAAACAGCAAAACAGTTTCATTTAATAGTTATTCATGTCATTCTGACTCATTGTGTTAATCTGAAATATAAATGTAAATATTTTAAGTTCCACAACCATATATATGGAAACATTGCAGAAGAATATCTCAGCTATATTTTACAGATAAATATGTATAAATAATATTTGTTCTGTCTCCATGTTATCAGATCATCATGATGCAGCTTCCAGTTCAGCTACACAAATATTTCAATCTGATTTGATCAAGAACAAAAAATACCAATAATCATTATGACATCTGTTAAAATCATGTGTGAAGCAATCATTTGTTTTTCTTATAGTATTTGCACAGCTGTAGAAAAAGCTTATGGTTAATTTTGTATTTTTAGAGCAATAATCTTTACTCCTTATGCATAAACTGATGTACAAACTGATAGGAACTTTTAAAGCTGCTCCCCTTTCGCCTTTTTCTCTTTGTTACATAAACTACTGGCTTTGACAGAGTCTGCAGTCAGTTAACAGATGTGCTGCTTATAATTCATTAAATGCAGTTAGAAACAGTTTTCTTGAACTTCAGCTGAAGCCTCAAGTAGATACTTTATTTGTTTTTGCCTTGGGCCGGCTCAGCATCCTTTTGCACTTATATGTTCACAGTATTAAGAGATTGTTTTGTAATTTGTTTTAAATGTTTTTATTTCAACTAAAATGTAAAAAAAATAAAATAAAATGAGGGTGTCTGGATCCTAGGTTGTTTGTTTTGTTTCTGTTTTTCTTTGCTTCAGTTTTTCTCTGTTTAATTCCTCAGTTATCCAGTTTTTCTTTAGACACCATTTATGCCAGTTTTTTTTTTCTCTCCTCACATAAAAACAAAATAATTTGTTAGTTTGTCTAATATGTACTTGATATTGAAACCAGTGTAAGTGCAAGCTTAGTTTGTTTTAGTAAATTATACTGAATGTGCACAAAGTTATCAACAAAGTTCACATTTACTTTCATCTGATATTAAATAACGATCATTTATTACTGAAATGCATTTGATAGATTAACACTTGTAGAAAAACAGACTGATTTCACTGATCCGAAGCAAACATGATCACAGATCATCTAAACTTTATCAGAAAATTCTGGTTTTCCTTTAGTCGGGCTGATAAGATGCCAGGCATGTTGACAGAGTTAAAGCTTTTAACTACAGTTTAGTTTATCTGTAATAATCTCAAGGTACTTAAAGTGTTATGATTTGGCTAAGTGGATAATAGTGAGGTTAAAAGGCAGTGACACAGGTGAAAGAGAACTGACATTAAATGATCTTTAACAAACAAAGTGTAGCATGTAACACTTCTTACACACTAATCGCCTGAAGTACTGGGATTTAATGGGATTTAATGGGATTTAATGGGATTTAAGTGCTGGAACAAGGCAGGTCTGTAGATGCACAATCCAGGAACAACTTCTTACTTTCATTAACATGCCTGCGTGGCCGTCCACAGAGAGACATCAGACCGTCCACAGAGAGACATCAGACCGTCCACAGAGAGATTGGCCCGTCCACAGAGAGACATTGGCCCGTCCACAGAGACACATTAAGTCGTCCACAGAGAGACATTAGACTGTTCACAGAGAGACATTAGACCGTCCACAGAGAGACATTAGACCGTCCACAGAGAGACATTAAGTCGTCCACAGAGAGACATTAAGTCGTCCACAGAGAGACATTGGACCGTCCACAGAGAGACATTAGACTGTCAACAGAGAGACATTAGACCGTCCAGAGAGACATTGGACCGTCCACAGAGACACATTAAGTCGTCCACAGAGAGACATTATACTGTCCACAGAGAGACATTATACTGTCCACAGAGAAACATTAGACCGCCCACAGAGAGACATTAGGTCGTCCACAGAGAGACATTAAGTCGTCCACAGAGAGACATTAGACTGTCCACAGAGAGACATTAAGTCGTCCACAGAGAGACATTATACCGTCCACAGAGAGACATTAGACCGTCCACAGAGAGACATCAGACCGTCCAAAGAGAGACATTAGACTGTCAACAGAGAGACATTAGACCGTCCACAGAGAGACATTAAGTCGTCCACAGAGAGACATTTACCGTCCACAGAGAGACATTAGACCGTCCACAGAGAGACATCAGACCGTCCACAGAGAGACATTAGACTGTCAACAGAGAGACATTGGACTGTACAGAGAGACATTAAGTCGTCCACAGAGAGACATCAGACTGTCCACAGAGAGACATTAGACTGTCCACAGAGAGACATTGGACCGTCCACAGAGACACATTAAGTCGTCCACAGAGAGACATTAGACCGTCCACAGAGAGACATTAGACCGTCCACAGAGAGACATCAGACCGTCCACAGAGAGACATTAGACTGTCAACAGAGAGACATTGGACTGTCTACAGAGAGACATTAAGTCGTCCACAGAGAGACATCAGACCGTCCACAGAGAGACATTAGACCGTCCACAGACATTAAGTCGTCCACAGAGAGACATCAGAGTGTCCACAGAGAGACGTTAGACTGTCCACAGAGAGACATTAGGTCGTCCACAGAGACGTCTAATGTCTCTGTGGGTAAATACAGCTTAAATTAGCATCACATTAAAAAACGGCCACTATTTTGAAGTTGGGTTGCTGTTTCAAGCATTATTAGAGTGGTGAGGTTTATTCACAAATTATTAAACTCAGAAATTATAAGATAAATAAATAAACCAAACATATTTTCTAAATGGAGTTCTTGCTGGAACATTGATGAGTCAGTGCTGGTGTCGTATCAGTGAGGAGTTTGTTCTGTCTACAGCAGGATCTTAAACTCCAGTCCTCCAGATGTCCTGCAGTTTCTAGATGAGCCACAGACGAAACACTGGCATGAAATGGCTTCATTACCTCCTCCTTGTGTGGATCAGATCTCCAGAGACTTAATGAGCTGATGATCTTATTCAGGTGTTGCAGCAGAGGCTCATCTAAAGATTTCAGGCCCTTCAGGACTGGAGTTTGACTCCAGTGGAATAAAAGGAGCCTTTGTTTTACTTGTCAAAGCGCCTCAGGGAGTCCTGCAGGTTTGAGCCTGCAGGTGATCAGAGTTTAAACATAAACCTGAAAGGCCATATTATTTTCCATCAGTTGCATAAACTCCTGTTGAAACGTTGACATTGAAACAACTCAACCACAATCCGGCTAAAAATGTTAAATAGTTCTGATTTGTTTTCTGTTTGGGTGTGTGCAGTGGTAAGGCATTAACCTTTATGACCTATGACCCCATGTAATCTTTGCATCAACTTTGCATCAGTCCTTCACACTTTTTGAAGCAATAATCTGACAGGATACTTACCACCCAATGTCTTTAACAACAAACATAACCGAGTTAAAGGTAACAACGTCTCTAATCAACCCAGAGGATCAATAAACCTGCCGACTCCATGAATCAATCATCATTTTCTCACAATCAGTGGTTTTCTTCAACTTAAGAGATAAATGTTCACAATTTACCTGAAGTTCAATTCAGCAGAATTAATAAACAATTTATTCAGTCTGAGATGTTCTACACTCTGCTGCCATCTAGTGGTCAAATACTTTTAGGAATCTTGAAAACCACAAAAACAAGATAAAATCTGATCCTTTCTTTCTTTCTTTCTTTCTTTCTTTCTTTCTTTCTTTCTTTCTTTCTTTCTTTCTTTCTTTCTTTCTTTCTTTCTTTCTTTCTTTCTTTCTTCTTTTTTTTCTTTCTTTCTTTCTTCTTTCTTTCTTTCTTTCTTTCTTTCTTTCTTTCTTTCTTTCTTTCTTTCTTTCTTTCTTTCTCTTTCTTTCTTTCTTTCTATATTAATATTTAATCTTGTTTATTTTTTTCATATGACAGGCCGCAAATGAATCCACATAATGTTCAGTCGTCAGTCAATTCTATTGCACCAATTAAAGCATCATATCAGAGTCAGATATTTTCTCCCAGAGAGAGAAGAGGTAGACTCTGTGTCTGTGGTAAAATCCAGTTTTAAATATATATTTGATTAATAAAAGTAAGATCCCTGCTAAAAAGATTCCCAGGTTTTATTTGTTAGGAATAATTGGGACCAATCTGTGTCTCTTTGTGTCTCCAATGTGCAAATCTGTAAGATTTCTATCTTCCCAAACAGGGAAAAGATTTTGAAGTTTCAAATTTAACATTATAAAATTATTTTAAGGTTGTTTTACTTAAGCATTTGCAATTCTTGAATACTGAAATAATCTGCTGGTTTCAGTCCAATTCTTGTGTTTATGGAACCAAATTAAAATATTTGTTTTAAAATGGAAGAAGTATTACATTTTTATGTATCTATTTATTAATCTACAGTTATACCAATAAGGAGACATGTGATATCTATTCATCAATAGATATCACATGTTTATCTATTTATTAACGTTGCAATGACAGGTCACTTTCTGAAACTTTGTTCTGCATTTTTATGCTGACTCATTCATATATTGAGTAATTTTGTGGGACAAAATCATGACACTCTGATTACAGGCTTGATTCCATCCTTGATTTGTGGCTGTTAAACAAACCACAAGCCTATAAAAAATAATGAAAAGCATTTTGTCAGACCAGTACTCTAGTATTTCACTAGGTGGAAGCAAAGAGCAGGAAGTTAAACTGGTCAAGCAGTGACTCTGTGATTTCCGTTTCTAGTTGTGGCTTGTGGGAAATAATTTACTCAAACTGCAATTTGTCAAATATAAATATAAATTAAACTTGCTTGCCTGGTGCTGTTTACTGGATCCCTGCGGCACAAAGCATAGACATTATTATGATCTACTGGATCAAAACCAGTACACGAGTCTGTACTGGACAGACACAAGGATCTAACAGAACCAGTACCGTCCATTATCTTGGATCAGAGTATCGTTGCTGTTTTCCTTTTCTGAAACCAGACAGACCAATACTGGATCAATACAGTCAAAATAATCAATACATTTACCTTTGTTTCAGTTTCCAAGTCCATCATTTTTTAAAGCTTGAATAAAATATTGCTGACATTGGAGTTATTGAATTTATAAGCTGTCTAAACATGCATGTTTGGAGCCAACATTTGGTTTGGAGAAAACCCTCAGAAGGTGAAGAAACAAACCGACGGTTCTGAACTCAGTTCGATTTTTATCTCTGCTTTTTAACTTCAAACTTCTTTTTTAGCTGCTTGTCAAGAAAACTTAGCAAACAACATTTATAGCTTTATTATGTTTGTTGTTGTTTCTTATTGGTTGCATTGAGTTGATGTTGGCAGTTTGACTAAAAAACAAACTAACTCCTGTTTAAAATATCCACAGCTGCCCCTAATGATGCCTCTGCTGATGGGTCAGTGGGTTTTTTGTCGTTTTTTTTAGTCCCAACTCTAATCCATGATAAATAGAGCAGGGCGGCAACAAAGTAAGTTTACATGAGTACTGCATGTCAGGAGTTTTGAGAATCATTTTTTCGAAAACCTATTTCTTTCATTCCACTAAACTTTCAACGGTAAGATCATATTTCTGATTTCACTAAAGTCAGATGACAAATGTGGAAGTGAAGAATCAGGTGAAAACTCCTGTTAAAATAAAACCTGTAAAAAATAAGAAGGCTTTCGTTATTTGTAACCGTTTGCCACACTGGGTTATTTCTTGACATCGAGCTTCAATAAATTTGATTCTGAATCATTTTGATGTGACAAAATAAGGTAATCTTTAGAGTTACGTCACATGCACCCCTGATCTGAACTCTGCATTTGTTTGCTGTCAGAACAAGTTGACTTGCTCCAGAGATCTGATGCTTGTCCTTCTGGCTGGACTCCCATCAACAGTCGCTGCTTTCAATATGTTCAGAAACCCATGACTTGGGCGAGAGCCGAGGTGATTTCCAACAACATTGTGCTCTTATTTTCTTTTATTCTTTGCTGAAGAAGTCCAGCTACTTCTAACTGTTATGCCTGCAGAGGAACTGTCTGTCCATGGGGGGAAACCTTGCATCAGTTCAAGACATGAACGAATATCGTCAGATTCAGGCTATAATAGCTACAGCAAGTTACGGAGCCAAAACAGCATGGATTGGAGGTTCTAATGCACAGGAGGTATTGATGCCACTACATTTATTTATTGTGTATTTTGGGAAACATTGAATGAAATGTATCATCTGCTGTTTATTGTCTTCCAGGACAACATTTGGTTGTGGAGCGATGGGAACCGGTTCATCTACACAGACTGGTGTTCTGGACAGCCTGATAATCATGGAGGCAACCAGCACTGATTACAGATGAACTATTCAGGTACAGGAAAATATCACAACTGTCTGTGTTTTCGGTTGGTAAGATGACTCATGGGTAAAACTAATTTACTGTGCATGTGAACTTTTTAGTTGACCTGCATAAATATTTACTGAATTTACAGCAGGAGCTTCTATTAATTTTCTTATGGTAAAAGGGTTTTTATGATGTGATGTGTGACTGATTTGTTTTCTTGTTCCTAGATGACAAGTGCTGGGATGACTTGGAATGTTCTAATCGGCTGCCTTCTGTCTGCGTCAAGACAATGTGAAAACTGTGAAGTTACTAAAAAGGCCTGATGTGTAAAACAGAACCAGTGGAGAATCAGAGCTGCTGTTTCTGTTTTCCTGCCTTTTTGCATCTTCATAGAAAACCCAAAAGATATTTCAGCTTCTCTACTTCCTCTCATTTCTCTCTTTAATGCAACCTAAGCAATGAAGCGACAAGCAAACAGCAGCTGGATTGTCTCTCTGTAATAAAGTCAGACTGAATGAGTTTTAAGAAAGAATCTTCTATGCAAAACTTTCTTCTATTCTTTGGCTGAGCAAAAATAAAACTTTGAAGAATCAAAACAAGATGGTTTATTATGTGTGTGTGTTGTGCTCTGTTTCCTGAATTATTTCTAACACTATCATATGCTAGTTATTACAATATAAATATCACATTATAACAAGTTCTAGTCAAACTGATGGTTCTTTGCTCATAAAAACAGAGAAAAGTTGCTTTTTATCACCTGCTGATGTATTTTAGTCTTTACTTTGTTCTGGAGCTGCTCTCATTGAATCACCAAAAATTTCATTTCAAGTGACATTTTATTGCACTGGAACTAATGAAAGTATGAACGACCTGGTTATGCAATTCTGTGCAATGTTTGTCAGTATCATTTCCTCATGTTGTATCAAGATTAGAAGCTCTATAAATATCTAGCGATTCTGCAGTGAAGGCTACATTGTAGCCTTGTAGAAGAATGATTCATCCTCTTTGTGTCACAATGCTGTGTTTTTTTAAGGTGTGGAAGGAATGAGTGATCGCAGAAAACCCAGGTATGAGGTTGAGGATGGTTTAATAAATAATAATCCAAAACACAAACAGAAGTGGGACAGTCCGAAATATCAAACAGTCCAAAAATAAACAATGAATAATCCAAAAATAAAATAGTTGCAGAGTCCGCGGCCTGGCAGCACGGTAGAGCGTAGCTGATGCTCATCCCGGTAGCAACAGGTCATACAGGTGGAGAAGCAGGTAGGCATAACTAAATTGAACAATGAGGGAACTACTAGGAACTACTAGGAACTACGAGGAACTACGAGAAACGACGGAGGAGAACGTGCACACAGCATGGCATCAGGAGCTGACAAGGAAGACGTCACAAGGACAAGGACCCGACGAGGAAGATAGGAAACATGAGGGACTAAATACACAGGGGCTAATCAGGGAGATGGGACACACCTGGGGAGAATCAACGGGGAGACAGGACAACAAGGAGACAACGAGACTCAGGGAAACACTGGACATGACACTTTGCTGGCTAAGAACACGGATCACTCTTCATCAGGTTCACTGAACAAATTTCTGCTCATCTTTTTTACCAACATGTTTGAATTTTATTAACACGTATGCTTTATTTCAGTTTGCCTTCAGCTTGCCCCATCACTTGATCTCCATCATGAAGTTGTCGGCTGTGTTCCTGATGGTTTTCTCCATGATGGCTCTGACCAGTGGTTTCAGGTACATCTACTACAGCGAGGTTCAGAGACTGATACGTGACAAAACTGGTAGAGCTGATCCAGCATGGCTGGGAGGCTCTGACGAACACCGGGTATTTCTGCCAGTATACTTTATGTTAGTTTTTTGTGTAACACTGACTGAAATGTGTAATCTGCTGAACACTATTCTAGGAGGGATTCTGGTGGTGGAGTGATGAATTTCCTGAGCTTCACAAACTGGTGTCGAGGAGAGCCTAATAATGTTTTTTCATGACCAGCACTGTATGCAGATGAACTTTTCAGGTAAAAGAAAATATCGTACGTCTGATTTTTCACTTGATGAATGAACTTGTGGTGAAAAGCTTATTTACTGTAAATGTAAACATTTTTCTAACGCTCATCTTAAGTTAAATCAGATGTTTTCATACATTTTGCTCAGTTTTGGGGATAAGTAAACTTCTGAATTTGAAGAAATTACAGAACTGGTTTCTCAAATGGTTTAGTTTTCTGTCATTTACTGAAAATAAATTATTCTAGTAACTTTAACAGATCTTGAAAAGAGAAGTTTGAACTTATTTAACTTCAGACAAGATAAAAATTCTGTATGTTTTCCACAGCAGGAGTTTATATTCATTTTTTGTGGCAAGATGATTCATTTCATCATCCTTTCCAATCATTTTCATAATCCTGCATCGATCATCTCAGGGTTTTCAGTACGTGATGCTTGACTGATAATTTGTCCTCTTGCTTTTAGATGAAAAATGCTGGGATGACCTGGAGTGTCATTACAAGCTGCCTTCTGTCTGCGTCAAGACAATGTGAAAACTGTGAAGTTACTAAAAAGGCCTGATGTGTAAAACAGAACCAGTGGAGAATCAGAGCTGCTGTTTCTGTTTTCCTGCCTTTTTGCATCTCTCATAGAAAACCTAAAGATATTTCTGCTTCTCTACTTCCTGTCATTTCTCTCTTTAATGCAACCTAAGCAATGAAGCGACAAGCAAACAGCAGCTGGATTGTCTCTCTGTAATAAAGTCAGACTGAATGAGTTTTTAGAGAAGAATCTTCTATGCAAAACTTTCTTCAATTCTTTGGCTGAGCAAAAATAAAACTTTGAAGAATCAAAACAAGATGGTTTTTATGTGTGTTTGTTGTGCTCTGTTTGAATTATTTCTAACACTATCATATGCTAGTTATTACAATATAAATATCACATTATAACAAGTTCTAGTCAAACCTGATGGTCCTTTGCTCATAAAAACAGAGAAAAGTTGCTTTTTATCACCTGCTGATGTATTTTTCTTTACTTTGTTCTGGAGCTGCTCTCATTGAATCACCAAAAATTTCATTTCAAGTGACATTTTATTGCACTGGAACTAATGAAAGTATGAACGACCTGGTTATGCATTCTGTGCAATGTTTGTCAGTATCATTTTCTCATGTTGTATCAAGATTAGAAGCTCTATAAATATCTAGCGATTCTGCAGTGAAGGCTACATTGTAGCCTTGTAGAAGAATCATCCGTCCTCTTTGCTGGCTAAGAACACGGATCACTCTTCATCAGGTTCGCTGAACAAATTTCTGCTCATCTTTTTTACCAACATGTTTGAATTTTATTAACACGTATGCTTTATTTCAGTTTGCCTTCAGCTTGCCCATCACTTCATCTCCATCATGAAGTTGTCGGCTGTGTTCCTGATGGTTTTCTCCATGATGGCTCTGACCAGTGGTTCCGAGAACCGTTTTTGCAGTGAGTATTTCTTCCTTATCAAGCCCTGCTTAAGTTACTAAAACACAGAAACACAAAACCAACTCTAGTTTAGATTCTCTACAGCTTCTCCAGATTGTAGCTCTACTGATAAACATTATCTGGTGTTTTTTGTCATTGTTTTCTGATTTCCTCAATGTGACTGCTTGGAATCACAATTCTGACCCTTAGTAAATGTTCTTGTAGTACACTTTAATAAAACAATACTTTTTCTTCAGTATATTTCATATATTTATGATTTGAATGTCTTCACTGTTCATTGTACACTGTACACACATCCTGGTCCTGATCTGCACAAGAGTCACTGGTTTTCCTGTCATTGAGGGAGTTAGCTTCTTTATAATAATTGTAATGTTGCATCATTAAGACGAATGACACAAACACTAGAGGTGCTGATAAATCAGCAGAGGTCAATAGATCAACCACTGTCCTCCTCTGATCTGCCATGACAGAGATTTGACTGAAATACCCGTCCAGCAGGTCATGGTTGCTCATTTTCATTAAACAATGGTCGCCCATCTGTTGCCAATTCTGTGACTTTCTAACTATATTTAGCAAAAAAAGCCCCCAAAAAAAACAAACAAAAAAAAACATCTGTTTTTAGACAAAATGTTGGGTTTATGTTGTTCCCCAACCTGCAAGAATCAACCAAAGACACAAATTACTTTTCTGCAGAAGAGGGAAGCAGAGCCCGACGCGGAGAACCAAACTCTGTCTGGGATCAACTCCGCAGGCTCTCAGTCCCCAACTGCCTTTTATTATGTCAATAGACAAAGAAGTAGACTTTTTCACACATTCATGCAACAATTGACCAATACACTATCCCATAGGATGTTCTGGAAGTCTTCCGTTGATATCCATTGTTAGGACACAAGGATGACCACTCTCAGGATACAGATAAAGATCAAAGCAGCTCGTAATACAGGAATGTGTAAAACATCTCTAACCCTTAAGGAAAAGCACTTAGATAAGCAGTTAAGAGTATACCATAAAGGAAAGGAGTCAAGAAAACAACACACAGAATAATAGTATGAAAACATAACCATTCAAATCAAAGAAAATGTACTTAGATAATGTTCCTAACACAAAAAAAGCAGTTTAGCTCAAATCAGAAGGTCAAACTTTTAATTGTTGACCAGCAGAAAACTGAGATAAAGCTTTTGACTGGAATTTTGTTTGTCATCAGGTTCACATTTGTCAAATTTATGGGAGCCCTGTCCGTCTGGTTGGAGGAAAATCAACAAACTCTGCTTTCGCTATGTTGGCACACGCCTGACTTGGTTTGATGCTGAGGTGATTTCCAAAAAAATTTCTCTTAATTTCTTTTGATATCTTTTATTTCACTGTTCTCAATTAAGAAAACCCAACTCAGAAAATGCTAAAATAACTATTTACTGTTCTTCACTATTCTCATTGAACACTTCTCTCTGTTTTTCTGTAGAAAAACTGTCAGTCCATGGGAGGAAACCTTGCATCAATATATAACATGGACTACTACACCAGGTTCAGAAACTGATACGTGACAAAACTGGTAGAGATGATCGAGCATGGCTGGGAGGCTCTGATGCACATTGGGTATTTCTGCCAGTACACTTTATGTTAGTTTTTTGTGTAACACTGACTGAAATGTGTAATCTGCTGAACACTATTCTAGGAGGGATCCTGGTTGTGGAGAGATAATATTCCAGTGACGTTCACATACTGGTGTCGAGGAGAGCCTAATAATTTTGGATTCAACCAGCACTGTTTGGAGATGAACTTTTCAGGTAAAAGAAAATATCGTACGTCTGATTTTTCACTTGATGAATGGACTTGTGGGTGAAAAGCTTATTTACTGTAAATGTAAACATTTTTCTAAACGCTCATCTTAAGTTAAATCAGATGTTGTTATACATTTTGCTCAGTTTTGGGGATAAGTAAACTTCTGAATTTGAAGAAAATTATAGAACTGGTTTCTCAAATGGTTTAGTTTCTGGCATTTACTGAAATAAATTATTCTAGTAACTTTAACTGACCTAAAAAAGAGAAGTTTGAACTTATTTAACTTCAGACAAGATAAAAAATTCTGTATGTTTTCCACAGCAGGAGTTTATATTCATTTTTT